TACACACACACACACAACACAAACACACACGCACAGAAGTTTGTATCAATTTGTCTTTACTTAATCACATTTTTCCACGGTAACTGAGGCTATATATTTTTAAAAAATAATTTCCTTATAAATTTATACAAAATACAAATTGTGTACCATAAATCTCCGTCACGCAGAAAACGGGATTGTTCACAGCACTTCCGTTAGCAATCATTTATTGGCTTCATGCTGTTGACCATTATAACGTTTCAAGTTCAAGCCAACCATGTTGCTACATCAGCATCGATTCTACATAACACAGTACCGTATAACATTAAGATAAGATAGATCTAGATCTAGATCTAGCCCAAATTCGTCCGGGACCGACCTCAGTAGTTCGAGGGATTTCTTACAAAGATAAAGAAAGGAAGAAAAAAAACAACCCTGAACTGCAAGCTCAGTTTGACGGATGCATGATTTCGAGACTTCTGTGCTCGACCTATCCGTGTTAGGTCGTTACTGTATTTTAAAGCAAAAGTAGCTATTCCGTGGTAGATATCGGTACATGTACCTAGATCTAATTCGATGTATTTCGTTCTTCGGTCTCACGTTTAAAAGACTCAGCGTCAGGAAAAGTGGAACAGTGGGTCTACGGTCTGACACAGATCATCAAAGTGTCATAGCCTATTCAAACTAAAGTCTGTTCTTTATATTGCGTAGGTTAGGATGGTCGCTCGTTATGGAAGTAGGCCTACTTCTTTGTCATGAACAGAAAGTATAACAGTGGCTTTCGGCCTCCCATCATAATTTGGGGAGCCATTGAGTATAGATCTAGATCCAGATCTAGAATATGATCTAGTTTAGATTCAATAGTGGTCGCTCGTTACGGAAGTCCTCCCCTACTAAATCTGCAGATTAGGTATATAGATCTACGTGAAACAAAATAATGCACGTACGCACGTTTTTGTTATCATTATATCTAGGAGTCTGAGACAATGTGTGAAATACTAAACTCTATCTTTTACATAGCCCACTCAAAAGTCCCTTCTTTATTGCGTAGGTTGGGGTGGTCGCTCGGTACGGAAGTCATAGAATGCAAAAACGAGAAAGAATCCGCTTGGTAAAATGTCACCAAAAATGATGACCAACATAATCTCAGAAAGGTTAGAATTTAGATCTAGATCTAATTTGTCCTACCTGGGTGGATATTATTGTATTAGTTCAAGTACGAATAAGACTCTGATCCAGAGTTATTTCAATCTTTCCTTGCTCGCTCGCTTGTGCAATAAAGCTTTTTAAAAAAGCAGAGAGCTTGCAAATGAACGATTGACGTCACAGTTTTATGGTGTCAATTAGTAGGCCACCTATTAGACTATATTCTACTTGTGCACTAAAGTAGATCTAGTGAGTCATAACTTTTAGATCTAGATCTAGGCCCTAGATCTACTGTTTTTTCAAGGGTCTTAGAGTTAGATCTAGCCTACACTTAGTCTTTTTAGTATAGTTTTAGTAGAGGTTTTACGGCGCTCGCAACTGCATAAGGTCATAGCCACGCTCTTAGTCTTTGCTTTTGAACCACAGAATAGGCTAGAACAAATAGAGATAAGGTTGATTGTTGATACAAATGTAGATAGGCCACTGATTTTGATAGATCTAGGTCTAGATCTAAACATGTATCTACTTGTGATACAAGCGCTGCTAAAGAAAACAAAAACTCCACAGGGAACAGTGGACTTCAGTCCGCTTGCTTCTGGATTCCCATTATTATTACAAATGTTGTATTAATATACAACATAGACTAGATCTTCTGGGATATGTTACAGGCTGGAAAGTCTGGAAACGTATTTCAGCGTTAGTGGTGTAGTCTTTTTTTTTTTTTTTTTGGTAAGTGTTGTACGGCGCTCACAACTGCATACTAAGGTGATATGAACGCGTGAGACACCTAGAGGTCTATATTTATTTTCAGTTTGTAGGAAATTTTGAATGTTGCCCGGGTGGCGGCTGAAGCCTACTGTACTGTTATCGATTTAGATCACCAAGGGATCTTTAACGTGCGCAACTTGCACATGGGCCCTCCGAGATTTTTCGCCCTTCTCCG